TTCATATCAAAGACTTCGCCTTTCCCTCGTTATGAAGCAGAGGCTCGGGACAACTCGAAAATGGCCCATAATGAGCTGAACACACAGGATACAAAGATCGATGGCACAGTGCCTGAAAATGGCTCACTAATTTACTGGGTTTTATTGTTTCAATTAGATTGTGAATTAGAGATGCATGCGTCACTTGACTCAGCAAACGAGCGCAATAACAGTAAAACAGAAATTCGTTTGGTATGAGCCTTTTCCTTTGGTGAAACTTAAGAGTTAAAACATAAATAACTCACATCATTGACGAGGTAACGGAGAAACTCGGTTTTATGTCTCTGGAGATCCTTAGTAATCCCGTTGCCGAATGAAACTAATCCGTATGGAAAGTTATGTTCTGCAAGCCAAGACATAACTTTGGTCTTCTGAAAGTCTAAACGGCTTGTAACGTAAACAATCAAGAAACCCAATTCTTGCCAGTGTCTAAAAGGGAAACCAGAGAGACGCTAAAGTATCTAGTAATAGCAAAATTGCGCTGTCTGATCTGCTGAATGGAGACGCTTTAGGATTCCCCCACCCCCCACCACCCGCCCCCTAAAAAAAACCGGCTTTCCTTTACACTGAGAGATTCCAAGGAGAATCTCGGAATCGAACATAGGATCTCCGCGCCTCAACAACAGTTTTTTTTTCCATTTATATTCGTCACTTTACAGTTATTTCTGCCGAGGTTATGTCGTTGTTGTTGTTGTTTTTTTTTACATTACGCACGCACAGAAGACAACACAGCAAAGAAGCTACGCTTTCAAAGATCGTAGCCACAAAAAGTTTGTTAGGAGGCCACGGGTGTGCTCCTTTCACTGTGAAAACAAAACTCTGTTACCTGACAACATCCACAGCTCCAGCGCGAACTTTTGGGTCTTTACCACGAATGGAGACACTGGCCGTGAATGAGCCGTCGATACTGAACACAACAGCTTCGGTTTTAGGCGGCAAAACGGCTAGGTTACTATCTACCCACGTGTGATCACCTCTAGAAAGCAAAAACAACAAAATGCAACGTGAAGAGCCTTAATCAACCCTTCTCTATACTCCAGACCCTCCCCCGCCACCCCGTCAGTACACACCATAGGGAGGAGCAAGAGTGTACCAGTGGTGATAGCACTTCCCTCCAACCGAAGTGGCCTCAGCTCGAGTGCCGGGACCGACTTAGAAATTGCATAAGATAAATTCTCTACCGAAAAGTAAATGTGTCGGGAGCTGTCCTCGGAAGACAGCCCCTGTGGTTGGAATCTCGTAAACGACCACCTCCCTCGTCTCCTTCGCCGCCGTTCTTAGGGTCGTCACGCAACGCTTCGTCACGTAACGGGAGGAGCGTTGCGTGGCGTTGCATTCTGGGTGGAGCTGTTATACTTACTTGACGACCAACTTGATGGGGTAGATTCCCACCGGAAGTTTCTTATCTTCAGGAATAGAGCAAGATAACTTTCCTCCACTTCCGGTCAAAACGGTGTCAAATAAA